TGGAGTGGGGGGGGGGGGTTGCTTGGCGGGTCTTGATATTTTCAGCGGTAGAAGCAAAAGGGCCTGTCAACAAACATGCTCAAGAAAGGGAGAGCGTTTTCGCTCAAAGTAATTAGATGTTATCTGAGAATGAATAAGAGCTCTCCAGCTTGACAATACGCTAAGAGCATGTCTGCACTGGCCCATTCAATCTGCTCCAACAACGCAGCGAAAGCGCACGTTTACACCAGCATCCCCTTTCAATGGATCAATGCTGAGGTTAACAGACAACTGAGCCAATAAGAAAGATCTCTGCTTTAGTGCTGTATTTCTATTTATACAGTTAACTGGAAAATGCAGTGGAACTTCAGTAAATAAAGAATAATCCTGTAAATGCCAGCAGGACAGACGCTTAATCTGTAAAGACTGCAAGTTAACAACAAAACTAATCGATACAGATTCTTTCTACATATACATAGCACCTGACATGTGTAACACCATCTAAGCTGGTCTTAATTAGATTTCTAAATAATCCAACACTACCTCACGTTCCTGTTCCCAGGCCTCAGCAGCAACCTATAAAACCTGTTCTAGAGTTGAATAGAATTTCTGTAAAAAGACATTTTGCCTCTGCGCTGTCAGCAAAGTTTCACTGCTCGACTCCGCCCATCGACTCCCTGGCGCCTAGCCGACGCATCTGCCAAACGCTCGAGCCCCCAACCCGCTCCGCCCCTGCCCCATATTCCTTAAGATGCTGGTATCGGGGGAGCCCCCGCTGACGTGCGATCCTTCATGTGGACGACGCGTGGGCAGGAAAGACTTGCAACAGGTGCCACCCGATGAGGCCTGATCCTCGGCCCCTTTGTGCCTGAGCAGGAGTGGGAGTGGGAGAGGCCGCAGGGGTCATGCTGACCCGAGAGCAGGGTGAGCCATACCGACTGTCTGACTGGAGGCTCAGACGTCAAAACAAGCCATGTTCCAAATTATATTCAACCGCTTTTCCTTCGCTGACATTTTTAAGGAGTAAATAACTAATGAATGGGTCACTGTTAGGATTTTAATGTTTCTTATATCATCGGATCTGCCGACTGTAAAACTTAAATCCTAGATAAAGATATGTACTGCACTGATAAAGAGGTTGTGAGCAGTGAGCAAAATATGTTATGTTGCCGATTGCATTGAGCAACAGAAACATTGTATTATAGTTATCAGACTTCTTCACAAGATCAATATATAGAAGACTTCCTCATAATAAACCATTTAATTAGAAAAAGGTTTTTAAAAAAGCTTTACATGCAAGTAATACAAATTAACAAAAAAAATAAAACAGAATTTAGTCTTTTTCAAACCCCACCCCCCCAAAAACAGGACTGTGGAAGCAAATGTAGGTGGAAAAATAAAACTATGGCTTGTTTCCACCTTTCATGTGAGCTGGCGGCTTTAAAAAATGACTAACTTTTGTTGATGTATGAATCGGCGGGGAGTCTATTTATCAGCAGGCCCTCTGCGGTCGCCGGCTCGGGTCCCTCAAGTCACAAGCCGCGTCGCTCCCCTTTGACTGATTAATTAGCCAATCAGAGGACATTTTTCACTGGGCGGCAGAATGGTTTATTTCAGCTAATGCCGGGCTTTCGAGCTGAGGCCCGTTGGAGCCTCGTCGGCTCTTTCGGCCTGCCTGAGTGGCCGGGCAGAGGGGCAAGGGAGATAAATCAAGCCGGGCTGGCCCTCCATGTGGCTCCCCTAACTAAACCCCCTGAGGAGGGCATGGTGGTGGAGAAGGAGGAGGGGGAAGAAGGGGGGGACGCAGGACGGCCAGGGGCACTGCTCGCCCGCCGATAAGCACGGGGAGCACAGGGCTGCCAAAGTGCCTTCATTTAGAAGTGGCCGGGGCTTTTTGATATCTCGGCAGAGAGAGCCTGTCGTTTGTCATGCTGTGAGTAATTGTGTTGAGGGGCGCTAGAGGAAGCAGGAGATGGAGGGGGCTCGCAAGCGTGGGATGGGTGATGGATAACAGAGAGCCATGTAGATGGACAGGTGCTCCAACACAACTTGATAACTTTCACTGGTCAGGGAGTGTAAATAATGGTTGTAAGCCATCATTTTCAAGTGTCTAGATGGTTAGATGGAATAAGGGTTTGGGGTGAAATGGTGGTCATCTATTTATGGTGTGTGTGTACTGATGATGGTTTGTATTTAACAAATGTTTTTTTTACAGAGGTCACTGGTTTTGGGGGTGTTGTACTAGATCTGAATCATATTGAGATGTGTATCAACATGTTTGACCTTCCTAAATACATGAAGGCATAATATTAGGAACCCGTCTAAATATAATGCAGCCAAACACCACCGTCACTAACTAAGACCCTGATGATAAAACAGATACTTTTAACACTACTCCTCGAAGAAAAACTGAACATGATGGGCATTAAAAGTAGACATTACAGCAAAGTAGTATTTGAATTGCAATAGTTGCATACAAAAAGTGCAGCCTCTCTGGTGAAGTGTTACGTATGCTTTTAATATTTTAAGTTCTCACTCTTCCCTTTATAAATAGGGCTTGAATAAGACATTTAAAAATGATTTAAGCCTAACAAGAACTTTTTATGTTTAATGTCACACATCTAGTGTACTGTGGCCTTAATAAATGTGTTATGGTTGTTTGGAAGGAATCAAACCCTCATCTTTAAAATGTATATATTTTACAATAATACTTGTTTTTCACAAAGCAAATGTTACACATTTAAAAGTTAAAATAAAGGTGACTTTTACCCAAAATACAGCTCTGCTATACACATTATTGAGAAGACAGGTGAATCACCAAAATGAATTAAACTTATTGGATGACTGTATACAACCAATTAATGTGCATTAGGTTAGTAATCTGTCCCATGAGCTCATTAGTCCTTTCAACACGTTGCTGCCTTTAACTAAAAGAGGCATGTGGGACAGCCGCGCGCGTGCGTGTGTGTGTGTGCGCGCGCGTGTGTGTGTGTGTGTGTGTGTGTGTGCATTTCAGAGAGCGTTGTGAGAAGCGATAAGAGGTGAACAGGAAGCACATCACTGCGTAGGAAGGAAAACCCGAGCAGCGAGGGGGGACTGGTGTTAGGGGGGCTGGAGAGACAACAGTGGGTGGTGGGTGAGGTGCTGGAAGATTCATGAGTCGGTAGAAAGGCCGTTCTGGAGAAGCAAATTTGGTCAGGTCTCACCTTGTTAGGATGCAGATATGTGATAACGCAACTGGTTCAAACCCCTGGCAATCCAATCCAACACTAAACCAAAGCCCCTAATGTTGATTTGGTCACTACTTAGGAGTACAACTCTTTAGGGTACTGAGATTTCTGGATGTTTGTAAATTGTAGAGCACAATTTGTGCCGTCACAGTAATGGTGGTAAGCACAGACCACGGAGCGCAGAGGGTCACTGGCAGTGTCACAGAGATCCTGCACAATGCCTACAGCTTGATTGGTCCATCACCCTCTTTACCTCTTCCCAGCAACCTCTGATGTTGCTGGGCTTCAACACAAGGCCTCATGGGATGCCATTGTAATTGTGTTCAGTGTTTTCGATATGGTCAATGGTGTCCCTCCTGGCTGAAAAATAACAACCCATAACCAAACGATTAGGGAGAAAATGATAGTGTGTATTGCTTGCATTTCCAATGTTAATCAGCTGGGGAGAAGCAGCCATTGTGATGTTATGGCTCTGTACCTGCGTGGGAATAGAAAAAGGTTTTTCTTTTGCAATTTATGGATTTTAAGATGCCAATTTCTTCAAGCCAAATGCTTGAGATAAATAGAGGAAGCCAGCAAGAGGGTTTTTCTGTGTCTCTGCGTCCAAAAGCTACATTTGTTATTGTCCTTCTGGCTCTGTATGGAGTCAGCAGAACTTGTGACACCAAAAATACTATAACAAATTATATTTTAGTGAATCATTTCAACAGTAGATTTGGTGTACAGCAAGTTCCATTGGCAGATACTTGTTTCATTTGTAATAATAACTCAGGCGATGTTTTTATTAATCAAAGGAAGACCGTCCGAGACTAAACACCTTTCGACTTTTTATTAATTGTAATCTAGTATTATTTAGTTAGGCAAAGGAACATACTGTGCCTGAAATGCAGCTTGTACCTGTCTGAGCCTCTAAGCTACGCTTCAAAAGCACAAGAGCAGCATATTGCCAAATGGTAAAGTGACGTTTGAAGTGACCAACCACCAATGCCAAGAGCAGAAAGACAACTTTTTTGCAAGCGTCATCATTTCAGATTTCTGCACACCTCGCCCAAATTTTGATTTGCCTTTAATAATGCCCGCTGGCATTCTAACACCCTTATGTGAGCGCTCCAAGACAGACGTGGAGAAAAGGGGGGAGTGCGAAGAGAGAAGTAGGGGGTAAGAGTGCAAATCCCTTAACTGGATTTAGGTGCTCTCGCCGCCACCGGTGGCCATTTGGCGGTGTTAAAGTGACGTGGCTAATCTAGGGCCACAGGCTTCACAAGGATCACATGGTACTGCAGCGACTGATGGAGGCGTCAGCACCAATGGTCACCCTTAATTACAGAGGGAGATAAGCTAAAACCACCTGGCCAAAGGGAAAGCATTTCCACCCTCAGTGCACACTTGACATTGAACGAGATCAGGAAGGATCAGAGTACTGCCCATCCAATTTAGAAAACCACTGTTTCAGTGCAAACAGTCATTCACACCTTGGATAACAAATATTCTCTACAGATATCTTGTCACTTGAAACAGTGCCATTTGTCACAACAAGACTGACTGGAACAAATAAATATGTACATGTTTTACAGGAATTAGTCGTGATCATATTACCTAAGCCAAACATTATTTCTACATCTTTAAGAGAACTGACGGGATTGTTTTCTTGATTTGTTAAAAATGCGTTTGCCTTTGTTAGCAGGTTAAAACATAACAACAATAAATTCAGCCTAAATTAAATGTTATATCAAAAGAGGAGTGTTTAGCGATTGTGGATTTACAAAGAAAATCATGATTTATTTCTCTTACCTTCTCTGGGTCATTGGAAGACCCTCCTCTCTTTCCAAAGATACAGTTTAGGTCAGTTTTACTGCGGGAGGACAGGTCCTTTCCTAAGAGGGGACACAAAACAAACACATTTTCTAAAAATTGCAAAGCCTATTACAACCAAGTTAGTTTTTTGTCTCTATTATTCTTGCTTTGAAATACAAGTCATGGTCACATTCATCCCCAAGACACACAAAATAAATTAACAAACATATTAAGGGCAGCTATTTTTCTAAGGCAACATGTAATAGTTGAGGAGGAATGCGGGGGGTTACTTAAGGAAAGAAAATGGGAGGTTTGCGTAGTCTGCTTCTGGATACAGGGATAAAACGGCAAAGAAAAATAAACCGACGACAAGGTCTTCCAAGCACGCCTCCGGAGTCCCATTTTCAAACCAGGCCTCAAAGACTCCTTGAGCACACAGTGGTCTGTCTCGAGCCCAGGTCCTGTTCGTACAGCTGCATCCTCTTCCTTCAGCGGGGCTCTGATAACATTTGGTTATTTATTGCTTTTAAACCTCTATCTCCCCGACTCTTGGCTTTGAAAGCCACTGCACATGCAGGTCTGAGAAGTAAAACCAAGAAAGTATGTTGAAAAGTAAAATAAATGAGGCGGGGGGGGGGGCTGAGGTGTTTGTCTTCTAGTGAACTCGGGTCAAACGTAAAATGATGCCCAATGTGACCTTTCTGCTGTTTGGAAGAGGAAGTACCTGTCAAAATTCTCAGGCTTTGAGGTGAAAGTGCAAATAACAATGTTCTGATAAAAAGGGGCTTTAACGTTCAAAAGGTGGCTGAATGCCATCATGCAGGATGAAGCATGTGCGCTGCTGTCGTGCAGCGGAAAGTGTTAGTGAATACACGCTGGTTTCTAAGGACACAGTTGAAATGGTAACAACTATCAGTGAAGACAACTAGTCAAACCAGACCAACAGATCACTGAGGCTCTACAGGGGATGCACAAATATGACAAATACTAAATGATGAAAAAAGCTAAATTAGATAGTCTCCAATAAAACAATGTAATTAGTTTTAGAAACACTGAACTGCAGGTACAGGAAACAAATAACTATCTGTGACCTGAAGCTCTTTAGCTGCATAATATGTTGTAGTTGCTTTGTTGCGTTTCCTAAAATCTCCAATTACAGACCTATACTGCCTGAAATGCGAACATTTGTTTTTGATAAAAGCCCCAAGACTGCAATTAAGCCAACAACACGGAGAAATGGACAGAGAGCTTGTGGTTTAATTCTGCATCAACCACCCCTGCTGCAGTGACAGGTGATAGATGGAGGTAGCAATTAAAACTGGGTTACTGGTTTATGCTGTGAGCCCGGACCAAAGCAGCGGAGATTTTGGTGCCTTTCCCCACAAACAAAGACCATCAATCCTCAGCGCTGGCAGTGAGGGAAGCAGCCTGAACAGGATATCAATAAAAAAGCAGGAGAGAGTAAGGAGGAGGCCTGCGCTGAGACGCAGACTAAGATGTTTGGAAGGTTCCCAGATGCTTCTGTAGCCACAACATTTTTAATGCTTTAATGTTTTTACAGTTTTCCTATCAAGTTAAGCAATAAATTAATGAGAAATGACCAGATGCATTTTAGTTAATAACCAGGATTAGACCAAACAGTAATATCTCTTACAATTGTAATCAGACTGAACATGAAATCAGGTTTTAAAGGGAGCACTTTGGGGCTGGGGATTATCCTAACTTGTTTACTTTTCATTCTGATTTTGGCTTATAATGATTATGAAAACCAAATAATCAATATAAATTATTATAATTGTCCCAGTTTCTGTATGACACTCACCTTTGTCTTGTGTTATAAATATAGCAAACCTTTTTCTTTACAGCCGTGCACATTAAGAACAAGTAGAACAGGGACAGCCGCTATACGTTTATTTTGCTGTAAAAGTGCACCAGATTCATGTACTTTATAAAGTGCCCTCTTTTTTATGTAAACGCATGATGTTTCCATAATAACCAAGTAACAAATGACATAAGCGTAAGGATGATTTTGTCATAATCAAGCAGAACTGGTTGACCTAGTTGACACATGCACATGCAGAACTATGAGGAGGACCTGACTTTTCAACCTCTCATCTAACAAGCTTATCAACCCTAAATCCATTACCAAGCCTTAACTTGGCAACAGCTTCCCGGAGAGGAGCGCTAGCGTCAGATCAGTCAGTGGTAGCATGCAAACAGGCGTGGCCGGTTATATGTTGCCAGGTAACCCTTTGTTGGCATATGCCGATTTAGACCATAAGCTGGCCAAAGTGAAGCAATGCACTGGCACTTTATGCTTGTCAGACAACTTAAGGCAGGCGGATCACCCAACTCTCATGTTTCCAATCAAGTTATGGACAAACAAGTAGTGCCAGCGTCCCTTCTGTTGCACGACAACGGTTGTTGCCTTTTTGTTTTTTTAAAGAAACAAGTCAAAGTGGTGTCAGGTTGCCAAAGACACGTCTGCTGCCTACAGAGGAACAACATGTCTCAAGATTGAATTCTGGTTTCCCTGTAAATGCCTCGTGTTTAACAAACGGCGGCATTGTCAGGTGCTACGTGCTCTCCAGCTCCCTTTAAATAGCTGCTGGTGATAATTAAAGGGATCTCCTCAAATGTATTAAAAGTCCTGCAAGGTCAGACTTTATTAGCTGATGACTTGTTGGGGTACAAATGTGTCCTAAAAGAGGCCCAAGTTCACAGTCAACAAAAGGTGATGAACAACAGATACATGTGGCTGTCACATTGACAATAACACTTGAGCAAGGTATTGTTTTCAGTGCTTTTCATGGGGTCAATGAGGCCGTCTTGAGAGGGGGGAGTGAGGTGGATATAGCTGGGAGGATGCAGAGATTCGAACAGAAGTGTAGCATTTCAAAACGTTTGATGGGACTCGCAGGGCAGGGACAACAGGAAATGTTTTCAAAGATTTCATTGCAGAATGGAAATATCACCATACATTCGCATTATGACTGTGATATATCCTCATTAAGAATAATGGAAGTTGTGATTTTATCGATGATGCCAACGCTAGAGAGGGATTAAGCAGAGGTAAAGCAAGGCTAAAATCAGGCCAAGGCTAAACCACAGTATTTATAGTCACTGAGGGGACACGTAGGGAGCCTACAAGAACCCTGAAGACTTTGTTTAAATGAGACTCGCCCCGTGAGGAGACATTAACACTGTTAAACAGTCACCGGTAGACAGGATTTAATAAAAACAAAATCTAAAAATAACATAAATAACTCACATAACATGTTTTAATGCAAATGTGGTAAACGGTGCCATGTTGTTAAATTATCATAGTGAAGTGATATTTAGAGATGGCATGGGTGCATTCATTTTCAAATTACCCAGCAGATGCAAAATCCCAGAATGAAAACCAACTGAAGCAAAGGTGCGTCTGGAAGACTCAGAAAAGTCTGTTATAATCAGTTGTAGGACTTCAACAACGTATGCATAGGGACTGAGGGTAAAAGGGAGAGCACCAGATGGAACATTATTATGTTCATAGTGTCTGTGCTTGTTGCCTTAATTGTGCCTTGTATCTGATGCACCGGGGTCTTTTTCTGGCTCCTGCCAAATTAAGATCACATAAACAGGGTGAGAGGGTCTGGAGAAGAGACTCAGGTCATACGTTATCTAGCAGGGTCATCTAATGGGTCACAAAGCCCCTGGGAGGTGTTGTTTTGAGGGGGCCAGTAAATGGACATGCCAGATGCCCCAAACAGGAAACAGGAAGTTGCTATTGAATGACGTAAAATGTAAAAGGCTCTCCCAGGTGAGGCAAAAGTTGAGATATTTAGTTTGCTCATGTATGCTGACCTCAGGATGTACATTGAACCAAATAACAAAAACTGTTATAGATTAATTACTTCAGCATGTGTTAATACTTCATGAGTTTGCAATCCTTTCAATCCAAAAGGATGAGCTAAATGAATGTTTAAAAATGTTTATTATCGTGACAATCATCTTAAAAAAGTGTAATCAGTCCATATGCTCTTTGCTCAGGCAAAACCACTTTGCAGTAAAATATGGGCTTGTGGTTATTCAGTTTGGTCTCCAGTGGTCCTGAACATCAAATTCCTCCTCTTGCCTATCAGTGTTCTGGCCTTGACCAGCAAATCTTAACTTCCTGACGTGTAAAGGAGTAATGAAAGTAGAAGGAAGAGTTATTAATAACCTCCCCTAGCACTGACCGGGCCATCTGACCCAGTACAGGCTGACAGAGCTCAGATCAGCTTCAGAGGTCCGAGCCAAGTGCACAGGCTCAACAAGGGGCTAAAGAGACTCCTCTCTGTCTGTCTGGAATTACTGTATGAAAGGTTGAAATGAAAAAAGTGGAGGCACACAATTGAGTGGGACCTAATATCAGTATACATCTACCTTAAAACCAAAAACAGAGATATTTTCACGAGGGAATTGTTTTAGCGCGATTAACGGTTGATCCAGTGATACTACAGAAACTGTTTTAGAGGTAATATATATAATGGGTGCTAAGATTGAGAAGAGAAAACACCCCTTGAGAAAATAGTGCTCCCCTGAGCTATGTTTATCCCTTGGACTTGCTGCTGTACAGACCCATCTGCTGCCAAAATATAGACCCACCTTTAGTGAACTTCATGTAATGGACCCTCTTTTTGCCGGTCTTGGACTTCTCCTCCAAGCTGAATCCTTTCGTCTCCTCTGACGTTGGAGGTTCTAAAAATAATAAAGAAATACAAATAAATATGGTCATGTGATAAAAATGTAAGATGCATCTTTGCACCAACTTTGATAAACCAGTATTCTAGCAGTGCAGTGTGTTTACCAGAACAGTGGTAACAAGATGTTTCTGTGAGAATGTATCCTAAATGTTGCCGTGTGGCACCCTCTACTGTCCGACACAGGGACCAAACAAAGACATTGCTGCACTGGGATTTTGTGTAGTTTCAGACAGAGCCACAACGTTGGAAAACCTAGCAGTAAAAATGAGTACACACATCATGCATCAACTCATGACAATACGTAGTCAGGGTATAGGATCATATCGGATACATATTGGTGGATGGAGAATTTTCACCATCTAATAAGAATCTAATCACAAATACACATGAAAAGAAAACATCCTATCGCTAGATCTCAACTTGTAATAGTTATTTCTTCTTTCTTTGACACAACCAAGGGAATACAAAGTGCTTGAACCCAAAGTGTGAACTGGGATGAAATGACAATAAAGATAATTTGTTTCATTTTTTAAATCGAAAAACAACATTTAATCCAACACGGACAATCGGTTTGTGAAGAATAAGAGTGAGACACTGTTTTGAAGTAACACCGCCACAACTACATCATAACCCCTTTGTAGACAGTGCATTATAAACACTTCACACATCCTAATGCTGTGGATGTACATACCAGCGCTGTTGTTTTGACCATGGTGGTTGTTCAGTTGAGCTAGAAGCTCATTGAAATCATCTTGGTGGGCGATCCACTTATCCTGTGAACACAACAGGAGTTAAATGTAGATTTAAACACTCAGTTGACAGATTATAAGAAGGTACAGCTAGCCAGCCTTAATTATTTTTAATACAACAGTTCTGGCATTAATCCTCAATTATAATGTATACTTTGTTTTAAACCCTGACAATCTTTTTATTCGCGTCATTTAAATCTGTACCATAATAGATGTAGTTTTAAATTTAAAAAAAGACTGCAAGTTGATTGAATACACCATCTCACATCACATAAACGGTTTCCATGCACCACAAACTACATTAACCAATAACCATGTTACTAATGCAATCAATATGGACTTCTGATTACTTATTCTCTTTAGGTTCTCGTAAAATGTCCTTAGTTTTCAGATTCAGAGAAACAATATTCCATTTATTCCAGTATCAAATCCCAAAGTGTTGAATGTGCTCACCTCAGAGCTGGCAGTGGTTCCAAAACCTTGGTGGTTGTTTTTAACTTTGACTTTGATATGATCGGTGGAGCCCTGCTGAGCTCTTCCCAGGCCCTTCACATGAGAAGAGAAGACATTACCTTTAACACAATTGTTTCTTTACTCATCCGCTCACTGCCAGTTTAATAATAAATCACCGCTGTTGATCTAATAAGAAAGGTCCACCTCACCTTGCCCTTGGACCAGCCCATTCGCTCCAGCATCTTCTGGCCAAATTTTGATTCATCCTTGGACCAGGCGCTGTTCCTGGGGTCAACAGACCACTTCAGTTTCCTCTTGGCTGCATAGAGAGAAGCACCAACATTACATAACAGTCATTGAACAAAATATAACATAAACGAGCATGAAAGCAACTCACAATGCACGCTGACACCGACAAGACCTTATGCTTACTAAGACAAATGTTACTGTGCAGCATCGTGATAAAACTACCCAGTTTAGTTGCCCAAACCTGTATAATAATACAGTTGCCACACAGTTATATCACATATGTAGCCTTGTATTGCGCCCGTTTTCCTTCTAATACACATCTTTCAAAATATCAAAGTATGCTGCTGGCCCTTCCTGGTAAATAAATCAGGTTTTGTTCTGTAAAATAATGAGGACAATAAGGTTCCCTGTGCATGTAAACACACTGACATCTGTCAGCATTACGGGACCTAAACAAAAGCAACGTCCGACAACATTGGAGAAAACAATGTGCAACAGAGGACAACACGTTTTTTTAACAAGAGAGCAGACAAATGGATAAGAATAGATGGTCATTAACGACGATATAGTTAACTAAACTGAGCCATTGACAGGTGACTGCAGAGTTACAAGAGAAAACACGTGTTGTCATATACTGCTTTTGGTGTGCTAATGCTAATGTTAGCAAGCCGAACAGTTGTAATACGTATACAATTGAATACTTTCAGAAGACTGTCTCTCAACAGCTGGTGGATGTATTATTAGCGAAAATAAAATGAGAAAAAACGGATTGTTTAATTGAAATAAAAAGGGAAATATCCGTAAAAACAATTGAAGAAATGTACATACGTTCAGCAAGCATGGACATCCTGGGGTCCTCAAACAGCTTGACGGAAGTTGCGTAGCCTTCGCAGAAATTGCCTGAAGATATATATATATATATATATATATATATATATATATATATATATATATATATATATATAAATACCACGCTGGTTGTTTGTGGGCAACATATCCTTGTAAAATATTTGCTGTGTCGTATTGCACACGGGTGTAAGTATATTAATTGGCCTATTGTATTTACAATTAATATTATCGTTATTTTATTACTATCAAGTGTTCATTTTAGCCAACAGAGAGCGCCACAGCCACAACATAAAGTAGCCTATGTGCTGGGTCACTTAGGTTCAATTAACCCAAAAACCACAGCCCAATAACATTATACATAATGTACAGTAGATCATAATACAAATACATTGTTATGGATTCAAGAGAAATTTAGAATAACTAAAAAACTGCAGACTGGAAAACAATGTTTTACTGGAGATCTTCCAATGGCAATATGAATTTGGAAAATTTGGAAAATTGAACTAGGTCTTCCCAAACTAAAAAAAAAACATTGCTTAATCATAAAGCAACACATCACACCATGTGTTCTTGCTCAAATCGATTCAGATCTAATTTCAAAATGTTTTGGTGGATAGTGGATGGAAAAAGCAAGGAAGATGCTTAATAAAGAAACAGCCAAGGATAATGTTGTACTCTCTGAACAAAGGTTCAACAAAATATGAATTATTTGTGTCCTTGTTCAGTCTCTTGCATGCCAACAAGAACACTTTCACTCTGAAACACGAGCTAACACACCTCAGACTGCACAGATTGCATTTCACATGCATTTTACATTTCTCTTATGTAACTTGTTATCAACATATTAGACAACAAATTAACCCTAATAATAAGTTACAAAGACATCAACAGATATAGAGCGGACAGAGAAAAGGACAGTCATAGGATCATCATAGGCTGACAGTGGGTTAAATTGATTTATAACAAAAGCATTGTCTTAATACAACTTGTTTTGGAATGTGAAATGATATCTTATTGGCTGTTGCATGGGTGAAAGCCTACGTAAAGTTATTCTTGATCTTTGCAGTTTCTAAGATGGTGTTTGGTAATTGCATTGGTCTCACTTATGTCCTTGTGCTGCTTATGAGTTATACAAGCTTTCTGGGGACATTATCAGCCTTACTCAAAGGAAACCCCTGAGTCTTGATTACATTACATTGCATTTAGCTGACGCTTTTATCCAAAGTGACTTACAAGAACACTTGATATGAGGCCAGTGTTTACATGTATTGTGTGCACAATGATACACCTGTGGGAATAATATTTATTCATGCTGAAAAGCCCCATGAAGATGTTTGTTTTGCAAAAAGGCTGACTCTGGGAATAATATCAGATTTTTGTATTAAAGTTTGAATGGTTCTAAAGAAACTTTCTTTCCATTGGAAAATAACAAATATTCTGGAATAGAAGTTATTTGAGAGATTAAAGAGAGAAACTGTGATAATACAATACAAAACAAATGCAAAAAACATTAATTTGTCACAATTCTAGTTCAGATTTTCTCTCTTACAGAGGCTGACACCAATCTAGTCTCGGTAACACCTGTCCTCTCAGGGAAGCAATTATTTGTATCTTCACTGAAAAAAGAAAATAGTTGAACCAACTTAATTTAATTACTTCAATTTGTAACACACAATTTAATTAAGTTTTCTCAAATAAGGTTTTTAAATTATATTAACACAAATTATTCAAGTCAGATGTAATTAAAAATGTGTTTTCTTTCAAATCAACAGTTTGCATTAATCCAGTTTACATTTTCCAAGTTTTCCAACCCAATTATTTGCTTTACCCAAAAGTAAGATACTGCTCATTAACAACCTAAAACTACATCCATCCATCCATCTTCTCCCGCTTATCCGTGGTCGGGTCGCGGAGGTAGCAGTTCCAGCAGAGAGCCCCAAACTTTCTTTTCCCTGGCCACATCAACCAGCTCTGACTGGGGGATCCCAAGGCGCTCCCAGGCCAGAGAAGAGATATAATCCCTCCACCTGGTCATAGGACTACCCCTTGGTCTCTTCCCAGCTGGACGTGCCTGGAACACCTCCCTAGGGAGGCGCCCAGGTGGCATCCTAACTAGGTGCCCGAACCACCTCAACTGGCTCCTTTCGACGCGAAGGAGGAGCGGTTCAACTCCGAGTCCCTCCCGGATGACTGAACTTCTCACCTTATCCCTAAGGGAGACACCAGCCACCCTGCGGAGAAAACCCATCTCGGCCGCTTGTATCCGCGATCTCGTTCTTTCGGTCATGACCCATCCTTCATGACCATAGGTGAGGGTAGGAACGAAAATTAAAAAAACTACAGTTTCACAAAAAGTATTTATTTTAAGTAACCTCGGTATGACATTTTAGTTTACTAAATATAATTTAAATACTTTATTCACAATTAAAATGTTAAGTTGGCTGAAAGACAAATCATGGACTCAAATATAATGTATTTATACTTTACATTACATTGCATTTAGCTGACGCTTTTATCCAAAGCGACTTACAATAAGTGCGTTCGACCAACAAAATACAAACTTGAAGAAAACAGAATCATATAAGTACATCAGGTTTCATAGAGCAAAAACATTTCAAGTGCTACTCAACTGGCTTTAGGTAAGCCAGTCCTTTATTAGTATATAAGTACTTTGTTAATAGTTCTATCGCTCGAAGTGGAGTCGAAAGAGATGAGTTTTCAGTCTGCACCGTGCCGAGAGACGGGAGTCGGAGGCGGGGTATCAAAGTTACAAGCTCTACTTTTATTTAGCATCTGAACACACATGTAAACAACTTCATGCCCGGGAAGCGAAGACCGGCGGAAACAGGAAGTCCGGCTCACTCAAATGTCCGTGCGGAACAATACACCAACCCATAGATCCGTGGGTGAATAATGTCAATCACCACACAAGCCCCCCCAGTATTCACCCATAGTCAAAATCCTCGTGCCTGGGAGGAAGTACCACCCGACCCCGGCGCGTACGGACCACAGGGGCCGAGGCGGGCGGGGCCACAGGCGAGGGCAGGGGCACCAACGAGGGCATCCCCACAGGGGGCGGGGAGCGGGCCATGGGAGGGCGGCCCCGACGTGGGGGCAGAGCCAACTCCAACGGCCTGGAAATGTCCACGTGAGCAGGCTTAATCCGATCAACGGACACAGTCTCAGGCCTGCCACCAACGTCCACCACCAGGCTCTTGTCCCCGTGACGTATGACCCTGAACGGACCGTCGTAAGGGGGCCGCAGGGGACCGCGGTGGGCGTCGTGGCGAATAAAAACGAAATCGGCCCACCGTAATCCGGGGGACACCCGGAAAGATGGGTTGCTGTGCTGCGACGTGGGGACGGGCGTGAATGTCCCGGCGGTCTCCAGCAGGGAGGAGCGCTGCCCGGCTGCAGACCAGGGCACAGTGGCGGTGGGAATGAATTCCCCAGGGACCCGTAGCGTCTGACCATAGACGAGCTCCGCCGACGAGGACTGCAGGTCTTCTTTGGGGGCACACCTGAGGCCGAGCATAACCCACGGGAGCTTATCCACCCAGTTGCCGTCTATCAAGCCGGCACGCAGTGACGCCTTCATGGACCGGTGAAACCGCTCACACAATCCGTTAGCCTGGGGGTGATATGCAGTGGTGCGGTGCAGCTTGACTCCCAAACCCACAGAAACAGCGTTTCACAGCTCCGAGGTGAACTGAGAACCGCGGTCAGAGGAGAGGTCAGACGGGGTCCCGAATCGCGCCACCCACGTGCCGATGAAAGCGCGGGCGACGTCGGAAGCTGATGTTGAGGCGAGGGGAACGGCCTCGGGCCAGCGGGTCGTCCTGTCCACCATCGTAAACAGGTAAGTGAAACCGTGAGAGGGGGGAAGCGGACCTACGAGGTTGACATTGACATGGTCAAACCTCCTCTCAGGAACTGCAAAAAGTTCAAAAGGGGCCCTAGTATGGCGGTGGACTTTGGCCCGTTGACAGGCCACGCACGAGTCGACCCAGGACCTCACGTCCTTCTTAAGCCCCTGCCACACGAACTTCTGTGACAACAACTTCACGGACGGCTTCCTACCGGGGTGGGAAAGATTGTGAACCGCCTCAAAAACGGGTCGACGCCAGTCCGCAGGGACCAGCGGTCGAGGCTGGCCCGTGGAGACGTCACACCACAGCTTTGCGCCAGAGTCACCGACCGTGACCTCCTCCAGGCGTAATCCCGTGACCGAGGCCTTGAGGGTCTGGACCCCGTGGTCAGAGGCCTGGTCAGCGCCCATGCGGAGGTAATCGAGGCCCAGCTGCACAGCTCCGATGACCGCTCTGGAGAGGCAGTCCGCGACCACGTTAGCCTTGCCAGCGATGTGTCGTATGTCCGTGGTGTACTCGGAGATGTACGAAAGCTGGCGTTGCTGTCGGGCGGACCACGGCTCAGCCACCTTGGACATGCAGAAGGTCAGTGGCTTGTGATCCACGAACGCCGCAAACTCCCGGCCTTCCAGCAGGAAACGGAAGTGGCGAACCGCCAAATAGAGACCAAGGAGTTCTCTGTCGAAAGCGCTGTACTTGCGCTCCCTGGGAGTCAACTGGCGACTGAAAAAGGCGAGCGGTTGCCAGGCGCCGTCGACCCATTGTTCATGCACCGCGCCCACTGCGTAGTCAGACGCGTCGGTGGTGATAGCGATGGGGGCCCTGTGTGACGGGTGAGCCAACATGGCGGCTTCGCTCAGGGCGGCTTTGGTGGCGTTGAAAGCGACCTCCCTTTCAGCCGTCCAGTCTATGGCCTGGCCGGGGGATTTGTCCCTGAGGGCCTCGTACAGCGGGCGCACAGTGTGGGCCGCCCGGCGGATGAACCGGTGATAAAACGTCACCATCCCGAGGAACTCTCGGAGCGCCCGAGCTGTAGGCGGTCGTGGAAAGGCAGACACGGCCTCCACTTTCGACGGGAGGGGGGCGGCCCCGTCCTTGCTGATGAGGTGCCCGAGGAAATGGATGGAGGACAACCCGAACTGACACTTCGCCGGGTTGATAATCAGGCCGTGTTGGTTGAGCCTCGCGAAAAGGACCCGGAGATGTGCCTGGTGCTCTTCGGAGGAGGAGCTGGCGACCAGGATGTCGTCTAAATAGACGAAGATGAATGGCATGTCTCTGAGCGCTGAATCCATCAGCCGCTGAAAGGACTGAGCTGCGTTCTTAAGTCCAAACGGCATACGCAGGAACTCGAAAAGCCCAAACGGCGTAATTACTGCAGTTTTGGGGACGTCCGAGGGGTGCACCGGAACCTGGTGGTAGCCCCGCACCAGATCCACCTTGGAGAAAACCAGCTTGCCCGCCAGGTGTGCAGAGAAGTCCTGGATGTGAGGGACCGGGTAGCGGTCTGGCGTAGTGGCGTCGTTAAGGCGGCGGTAGTCACCACACGGTCGCCAGCCACCGGCTGATTTAGGGACCATGTGAAGCGGCGAAGCCCAAGGGCTGTCTGAGTGGCGGATGATGCCCAGACGCTCCATGTTGACGAACTCTGACTTGGCGACTGCCAGCATGTCAGGGTTGAGCCGCCGGGCCCTAGCGTAGACAGGGGGGCCTTCAGTGTCAATGTGGTGCTCTACCCCATGTTTGGTAGTGGCAGCGGAAAAGGTGGGCTGCGTCAAGTCGGGAAACTCACTGAGAAGGTGCTGGAACTTGTCGCCCTGTGAGAGCGAGCTGGAGAGCCCGCTGAATGACGCCTCGCCGCGGGTACACGTGAACGAGGCAAACGTCAGTGCGTCCACCAGGCGGCTGTTCTTGACGTCCACCAGCAGTCCGTGAGCGCACAGGAAGTCTGCGCCGAGGAGAGCGAAGGAGATGTCAGCCGTGACGAAATCCCACTTAAACCGCTGACCCTCGAAGCACAGGTCCACTGTCTTTGTGCCATAGGTGCGAATAGGGGTGTCGTTAGCGGACGTTAAAGGTGGGCCGTGGCCTCCACCGGCAGCGTCCTCCACGGTAGCCGGCAGGACGCTTCGCTGGGCTCCTGTGTCACAAAGGAGTCTGCGACCAGAGAGGGTGTCCCTGATGAACAGGAGCCGGTTGGATGTGCCCACGCTCGCGGCCACTACCGAGCGCAGGCCTTGGCGTTTCCCGTTACCTTGTAGGTGCAGGGAGGACGGCACATCTTCGCTTTCGCCCCATAGCGTGCATGATAATAGCACAGGCCAGGGCTGGAGTTGCTGACGTCGGCCCCGGAGCTTCTGCTAGGTGGCATGCCTGTACCAGGGAAGGTGCCGCTGCGTGTCGGGGCCAGCACCTCCGCGGCAAAACGCTGGGTTGCCAGGAAGAACCGGTCAGCTTCTTCGGCCAAAGCGCGGGGCTCAGTAATAGCCGTGTTAGCGAGCGCTGTCTGTACATGCGGCGGCATGTGGCGAAGAAACAGTTCTATGAACAAAAAATTAGGTTCTTCCGTACCCAGCAGGCTGAGCATCATCTCCATGTGGTCAGAAGGCTTGTTGTCCCCCAGGCTATGAATAGCGAGCAGGCGTCGGGCCCGTTCCGACCGTGACAGCTCGAAAGTCTTTAGCAGGAAAGCCTTGAACGCTGCATATTTATCCTGGGCAGGAGGAGATGTAATAAAGCCCACCGTCCGGGTCGCAGTGGAGCTCCCCAGCGCCGAAACGACGTGAAAATAGCGTGCTGCGTCGTCAGTCACTCCGCGGAGGGCAAACTGAGCCTCCGCCTGAGCGAACCATGCAGCTGCAGATGTCTCCCAAAACTCCGGCAGTTTGAAAAAAACGGCGTTACTTGCCATGCTCGGTTCAGTCTCGGATCCTTCAACAAGACTTATGTCGGGGTCACCAATGTAGTGCCGAGAGACGGGAGTCGGAGGCGGGGTATCAAAGTTACAAGCTCTACTTTTATTTAGCATCTGAACACACATGTAAATAACTTCATGCCCGGGAAGCGAAGACCGGCGGAAACAGGAAGTCCGGCTCACTCAAATGTCCGTGCGGAACAATACCCCAACCCATAGATCCGTGGGTGAATAATGTCAATCACCACATTTTATTACTATCAAGTGTTCATTTTAGCCAACAGAGAGCGCCACAGCCACAACATAAAGTAGCCAATGTGCTGGGTCACTTAGGTTCAATGAACCCAAAAACCACAGCCCAATAACATTATACATAATGTACAGTAGATCATAATAAAAATACATTGTTATGGATTCAAGAGACATTTAGAATAACTAAAAAACTGCAGACTGGAAAACAATGTTTTACTGGAGATCTTCCAATGGCAATATGAATTTGGAAAATTTGGAAAATTGAACTAGGTCTTCCCAAACTAAAAAAAAAACATTGCTTAATCATTCAGCAACACATCACACCATGTGTTCTTGCTCAAATCGATTCAGATCTAATTTCAAAATGTTTTGGTGGATAGTGGATGGAAAAAGCAAGGAAGATGCTTAATAAAGAAACAGCCAAGGATAATGTTGTACTCTCTGAACAAAGGTTCAACAAAATATGAATTATTTGTGTCCTTGTTCAGTCTCTTGCATGCCAACAAGAACACTTTCACTCTGAAACACGAGCTAACACACCTCAGACTGCACAGATTGCATTTCACATGCATTTTACATTTCTCTTATGTAACTTGTTATCAACATATTAGACAACAAATTAACCCTAATAATAAGTTACAAAGACATCAACAGATATAGAGCGGACAGAGAAAAGGACAGTCATAGGATCATCATAGGCTGACAGTGGGTTAAATTGATTTATAACAAAAGCATTGTCTTAATACAACTTGTTTTGGAATGTGAAATGATATCTTATTGGCTGTTGCATGGGTGAAAGCCTACGTAAAGTTATTCTTGATCTTTGCAGTTTCTAAGATGGTGTATAATTGCTTTGGTCTCACTTATGTCCTTGTGCTGCTTATGAGTTATACAAGCTTTCTGGGGACATTATCAGCCCTACTCAAAGGAAACCCCTGAGTCTTGATTACATTGCATTTAGCTGACGCTTTTATCCAAAGTGACTTACAAGAACACTTGATATGAAGCCAGTGTTTACATGTATTGTGTGCACAATGATACACCTGTGGGAATAATATTTATTCATGCTGAAAAGCCCCATGAAGATGTTTGTTTTGCAAAAAGGCTGACTCTGGGAATAATATCAGATTTTTGTATTAAAGTTTGAATGGTTCTAAAGAAACTTTCTTTCCATTGGAAAATAACAAATATTCTGGAATAGAAGTTATTCGAGAGATTAAAGAGAGAAACTGTGATAATACAATACAAAACAAATGCAAAAAACATTAATTTGTCACAATTCTAGTTCAGATTTTCTCTCTTACAGAGGCTGACACCAATCTAGTCTCGGTAACACCTGTCCTCTCAGGGAAGCAATTATTTGTATCTTCACTGAAAAAAGAAAATAGTTGAACCAACTTAATTTAATTACTTCAATTTGTAACACACAATTTAATTAAGTTTTCTCAAATAAGGTTTTTAAATTATATTAACACAAATTATTCAAGTCAGATGTAATTAAAAATGTGTTTTCTTTCAAATCAACAGTTTGCATTAATCCAGTTTACATTTTCCAAGTTTTCCAACCCAATTATTTGCTTTACCCAAAAGTAAGATACTGCTCATTAACAACCTAAAACTACATCC